GCGCTTCAGTTGGCAGTAGCTCCTCTGGTGGGTGTTGTTCACAGCTGTTGTGGCTCTTCTGGCTGGTGGGGGGTGGTTTCACGTACAGCTGCTGTTCCTCAGCAGAGGGTGTGGTGCTCACGAGGCTGCTGTTGCTTGGATCTGCTTTCCAGGGGAGTTCTGCCCTTCCCGGCTGCAAACCGTCTCGCCAGCTGAGCAATTTTGCCAATTCGGGGTGGGTGTTATTAGTTTCAGCTGCTCACTCCATTTGCTCCGGGATACGACCTGGGACCTGTCTGCCTATATCGCCACCATCTTCCAAGTCCCTGAATGCTTTTTCTGTGTGTATTGATGTGATTATGTGATTTTTATCTTTCAATTTGTTTATGTCTCACATTTATTAATTTGCTAATATTGTACCAGCCTTGTATTCCCAGAATAAATCCCATTTATCATGGTGTATGATCTTTTTAATGTATTGCTGGATTAGATTTTCTAATATTTTGCTAAGGAGTTTAATATCTATATTCATTAGGAATATCTGCTTGTAATTCTCTTTCTTTGTAGTGTCTTTACCTGGTTTTGGAATTAGGATAATGCTGTCCTCATAAAAAGACCTTGGAGTGTTCCTCCTCTTGGATATTTTGGAATTGCTTGAGGAGTTTATGTGTTAGTTCCTCTTTGAATGTTTGGTAAAAGTCCCCAGTGAAGCCATCCAGACCTGGGCTTTTGTTTGCTTTGAGTTTTTTGATTACTGCTTTAATTTCATCATTTGTTATTGGCCTATTCAGGTTTTCTGATTCTTCTTGATTCAATTTTGGAAGATTGTATTTTTCTAGGAATTCATCCACATTGTCTAGCTTGTTGGCATATAGTTGTTCATAGTATTTTCTTACAATCCTTTGTATTTCTGTGGTGTCAGTTGTTATTTTCTTGCTTTTGTTTCTGGTTTTATTTATTTGGGTAATTTCTCTTTGTTTCTTAATGAGTCTGGCTAAAAGTTCATTAATCTTGTGAATCTTTTCAAAGAACCAACTCTTAGTTTCTAGATTTTTTTGTATTTATTTTTTTTAGTCTTTATGTCATTTACTTCTGCTTTAATCTTTTTTTTTTTTTTTGTAATAAAGGCAGTTCATTTTCTGCTTAAACAGTAGCTCTGCTCTGAGAGCAGGAAGAACAAAGGTGACTTCCAGAAAGGAGACAGGCAGTCTAGTAAGGCAAGACAGAATTTAACATAGCTGGTTTCTTGGCAGCTTCTAAATTGGTTCTAACCACATTGGAATCAGGGCCCTGGCTGGATCAGGAGGCACCCGTATGGCTTCTCTTGTTCCATGCGACAGATCTGCTGGGCTGCGAGCACCAGGAGCAGGTAGAAGACTCGGGCAGCCATCCTGCGAGGGCTAAGAGGTGACACTAAGCTGCTGAAATCTGGCTTCCTGTTGGCCTGCAGCTCCAGTGGCAATGCCCTGTACACAGCCTCAAGTGAGAGCAGCTCTGCCTCCGGAGGCAGCTCCAAAGGCATCTCCATGGGCACCTCGGGGAGTTCGGGCACCACAGGCAATACAGGGGGCTCTGGCTGCTCCACCTCAGCCCAGGCCCATCGCTTCTCCAGGAGGATGAAGCTGATGTGAGACTTCTCCTCCTCAGCTGCTTCTATGGAGAGCTCTGAAGACAGCATAAGGGGCCCACTGGGCTCTTGGGCCTCCCTCAGGACCTCGATATCACTCAGGGTTTCCGTTTTTCTCCTTACCTCCTCAGCTGCTGCATCCCTCTCAGCAGCCTCCTCTTCAGGCTCCAGGGGCATTCGTCTGAGTGCTTTTGGGGGTGGCTGGGCACAGCGGGTCCAGAAAGCCAGCAGTTCTGGGGGTAGCCAGCCAGAGTAAGTTGGGGTTTGAAACATCTCTGTGGGGCTTCTGATGATCCTGTCAGGGGGCTGCACCATCGGACACTCCCAGCAATGAGCTCTGGTTTGCAGTTGTTTCTGGAAATTCTCCCTGGAGATCTGAGTCTCCTTGTCCCAGAACAGTAACTGGCGGCGGCGACTACGGCAGCGGCTAGCAGGTGGGGAGGCTGGGGGCCTCCTCTCTGGGCTGAGTGGGGCTAGGAGATGCAGCTCCTGCAGGGGCGGGGGTGTCACCTCAGCAAGCAGGGCCTCCGGCTCCCAGACTGCTGGCTTCACCTCCTCTGGGGCCAGGACCTGGCCTGGAAGTGGCTCTGCCACCTCTTCCAACTGTGGAAGAGCTAGAGGTGAGAGAGGGGGAACTATAGTTTCCACTTCTGGGGCTCGGGGTTCCTCCTTGGACACTTGTTCCTCCAACAAGATAGCTTCATCTTCCTCAGCAATGAGCAGGTCCAAGTCTCGATGGCTAACCTCTGGGAGGTCTCGTTCACCATCGATCTGCAGCATGCGTATGGGCTCTGCTTCCTGGAGGGTGATGGCCTCCTGAGACAGCACAGTGACCAGGGTCCTCTCTGGGTTCCCAGGCTCTTTGGGGACTTTGGGAGGGATCTCCTCAGGGGCTCTCTCTGGGGTCACAGCCTACAAAAGGTGTTGGATCTGAGGTATATCGAAGGGGCTGGGAAGCCTGGGATACACAGACATCATCCCCAAAAAGGGGTCTGGAGCATCTTCCAGGGTTTCCATCATGGCCAGGCAATTAGGAAGCAACAGGCTGGGTAGTTCAGTCTCCACCATATCTATTCGGATCTGCAACTGGGCACGGTGCAGGCGCTCCAGGATGTGCTGGATGTCCTCTGTGGGCAGGGAGGGCAAGGTAGGGAGCCCGCCTAGAAGGCCACTCAACTCTGCCCCACTTTCGTGCAGCCTTCCCAGCCTTACCTACAAGGTACTGGCATTGCTGTGAGTAGACCCGGATGACCCCAATCTGGAGCTGGGCTGAGAGAGAGGGAGAAGCAGGGGTGTCATAGGCCGGGCTGCGAGGGTTGCACTCGTACCAGCACATAACTGAGGATTTCCTCGCAGGTCTTCACCACATTCACCTTCAGGTATTCACGCTTTACCAACCGGCTGCCACACGTTGCTGCCAACCCTCTCGTCCTCACTGCTTCTCCGTTTGGCTCTCGATCGGATTCTTTAGGGCACAGTATTTCCCAGCACTGGAGCAGGTCGGGGATGCAGAGCTCCTCGGAAACGGCTGCCCGTGGCAGAGACGCCGGGCTCTGGGGCCTTTGCTCTCAGCTCGGACAGCGACAATCTCAACGGGGTCGCCCTCCTGCCGGCCTCGGTCACACCGCAGGAGCTTCTGCTTTAATCTATTATTTCCTTCCTTCTACTTACTCTTGGCTTTTCTTTCCTTTTTTTTTAAATCCTCACTTGAGGGTTGTTCTAAGGTCAACTCTACTTCAAACGCAGGAAAAGCA